AAGGAAGGAAGGAAGGAAGGAAGGAAGGAAGGAAGGAAGGAAGGAAGAATGTGAGGGAGGGAGAAGAAAGAGTGGGAGGAAGAGAGGTGAAAGAAAGGAGGAGAAGGGAAGGAAGGAAGAATGAGGAAGGGAGAAGAAAGAGTGGAAGGAAGGGAGGTGAAAGAGAGAAAGGAAGAAAGAAGGGAAGAGAGGAAGGAAGGAAGAATGCGAAGGAAGGAGAGGAAAGAATGGGAGGAAGGGAGGTGAAAGAGAGAAAGGAGAAGAAGGGAAGGAAGGAAGGATGTGAGACAGGGAAGAGTGGGAGGAAGGGAGGTGAAAGAAAAAGGAAAAAAGAAGGGAAGAGAGGAAGGAAGGAAGGAAGGAAGGAAGAATGTGAGGGAGGGAGAAGAGTGGGAGGAAGAAAGAAGGGAAGGAAGGAAGGAAGGAAGGAAAAAAACCAACCAAACAAATGGATAAATGTCTTCTCTGTTTGAAAATGAAATCTTCCTTTTCACAAAGCAAGGGAAAGATTTTTAATTCCCAATTGCTTCCAACTAACCATGTTTGGGGGTGTTTTTATTGCTACTCAAAATATGCCTATACCTGTAATCTGGAAGAAGGCAGATTAAACCAGAGCCTCTAAAGTTAACATCTGATCATTTTCTACTCCGTCGATCGCCTTTTCCCTCAGTTAGGGTCCATTTGGCTTTCTTAGCAGGCCGACGTTTGGAACTGGGGGGGGGGGGGTGTCCCAGCCAAGGTTTCTCATGGCAAGGGGCGAATTTTAATTGCTGAAACGTCTCGCCTGCTCCTGACACGCCGTTTTCCCTGCAGACGTTGAACGGGTGATCGGATTTGCCTCTGTGGACCTCTCCCCGCTGCTGTCCGGCTTCCAGTACATCTGCGGCTGGTACAACATCACCGACCTTAGCGGGCAGTGCCGAGGGCAGGTGAAAGTCGCCGTCTCCCCGCTCGAAAGCATCACTCACCTGAGAGAAGAAAGGCAGGCAAGAAGGAGCCGCCAGGTAAAAACGCCAGAATCCTCTCTACGTACCATTCCCCGTTTCTCTTGTGCTGCGCGGACAAAACGGCCTGCGAAAGATTTTCTTCCTTTATTGTTTTATTTATATTTATTTATTTATGTGTTTATTTATGGGGTTATTGTTTAACGAATTCACTGCTTCGTTTATTCTTTTATTCATTCATTTATTCTTCTATTCATTTTTTGCTTTCTTCTTTTCTTTAATTAATTTTACTGGTTTATTTATTGTTTGATTCATTCTCCAGGCTCCTGAACTGGTCCCTGTTCTTCCCCACTATTCGATTCCGCTGCTGTCTGCACCGGCTGCCGATGAACCGCAACCATTGCATACTTCTGGCAAGCTACTTTTGCCAGATTGCCCGATTGCAGATGGTTGCAGATTCCCACCTTTAAGGCCCTGTTTTTGTTTTGCAGGCAAAGGACCCGTATCCTTCATTCGCATCCTTCTCCACAAGAGCCACCCCCAAATGTTCAGGTTCTCCGTGGAAGAGTCTGGAAGCTTCCAGTCATGCGAGGTAAAGACAAAACCAGAGGCACAGTAGATGTTTCCAGGGCTGCAAAACTACCCCCTTATTTCATCCCAGGCATTTATTGGCAGGGGCATTCCATTGATTGTGGATCTGAGGTATTTCCCCAAATTCTGATACACTAAAATTTCAAATTAGGCCTCCCCTCTTGTGTCACTTAACAGTGAGATGGGCTGCCTATACATTTAAATGAGTGAATGAATGAATAAATGAATGAATGAATATTCTTTACCAATAGTAGAGAATGTATGAAGCTCGGGGTTAGACTCTGGTTGCTCTCTGAGCATGGTTGCTTTCTTGCAGACATTTCATGACCCAACAAGGTAACTTTTATCAGTGCTAGAAGGGATTTGTAGAGAGGAGGAAGAAGAGGAGGACTGTGGAGTCCTTGGTGCCCTCCAAAGCTGGGTGGTTTTCTTGCAGACATTTCATGACTCAACTAGGGAACATCACCAGTGCTGTAGCATTAATATTTATACAGTTATAACACCGATGATGTTCCCTAGTTGGGTCATGAAACGTCTGCAACAAAACAACCCAGCTTTGGAGGGCACCAAGGACTCCAGAGTTTTCCTCCTCCTCCTCCTCCTCCTCCTCCTCCTCCTCCCCTTAGCACTGATGACATTACCTTAGTTGGCTCATGAAATGTCTGATAGAAAACCACCAAACTCACAGAGCATCAAAGACCTCACAGTCCTCCTCTTCCTCTCTGCAAACCCCTTCTAGCACTGATGACGTTACCTAGTTGGGTCATGAAACATCTGCAAGAAAACCACCAAGCTTAGACAGCGCCAAAGACTCCATTCTCCTCCTCCTCCTCCTCCTCCTCCTCCTCTCTGCAAACCCCACTCCTTTCTAACAGTGATGATGTTACCTCATGAAACATCTGCAAGAAGAGAACCAAGCTTAGAGAGTACCAAGGACCCCACAGTTCTCCTCCTGCTCCTCCTCCTCCTCCTCTCTGCAAACCCCACTCCCTTCTAGCACTGATGACATTATCTAGTTGGGTCATGAAACATCTGCAAGAAAACCACCCAGCTTAGAGAGCGCCAAGACTCCATTCTTCTTCTTCTTCTTCTTCTTCTTCTTCTTCTTCTTCTTCTTCTT